GGCCTATCCAGACCATCCCTTTGCTCAGCCCCCAGATATTGTACCTCTGCCCCCCCGTCACAGCACTGTGGGTGACCCCCAACAGTGAATCATTTGTCTCATCATGAATATCACAATCATTGTTAGCATTACCCACATTGCCGTCAACAATACAAACATTATCAATGACATTACTATCAATGTTACTGACATTATTAATGACATTACTGACTTTACTTTCAATGTTACTGACATTAGTAATATCACCCTCAGTGTCACCACAACGATCATCGACAGTCACTTTCATAATATCAATGACACATGAGTTCAATACCTCCCCAGGCAAGGGGATTTCTTCTTGTTCTCCAGCTAATGGAGAATCCTGTAGCCCCACACCATTCCCAGCCCCCTCCCTCTGTCCATCCACCGGTGGCCCAGACATTACCCCAATATCTGTCCCCAGTACCTTAGCTTGTCCAGAGAGTTCCAGGGGGCCCTTCCGGGTATTCTCGGCAGGGGCATAATACGGAACAAGAGTGCCTAGGTCAGCACCCAACAAAACAGGTGTGGGCAGTTCATTCGAGACCCCCACCTCTCTCATCCCCCTCCCCGCACCCCAATCTAGGAATACCTTCGCACAGGGTATGCGTGAACGGGTCCCCCCAACTCCTGTGAGGGTAAGGAACTTTCGTGGGATGAGGTTCTGTGGCTCAATCAGCTCTGGCTGGATCAGGTGACTTCTGCCCCGGTGTCCCGGAAACCAGTTTAAGACCGGTTGCCCACGGTAACGGGCTGCAAGTTGGCGGGTGTTACCCGCATCTTCCTGCGAACGAACAGCACAGAAAGAGAGTTGCTGGCCGGCTGGCCAGATGATGTCATCTGCTTCTGCTCAGGACACTGCGTCCTGAGATGTCCGGCTTTCCCACAGGTGAAACATCTGCGGGTGTCAGGCAGGAATGGCTTGGCTCCAAGCGCTGCAAGGGTGGGCGGAGGTGGAGCTTGACTCACCAAAGTAGGAGAGGTTGCTAGGGACAATTTCCCCCCCTTTCCAGCTGTTTGGAGGAGCCTTGCGAGGGTCAGGCACTCGCGTGTGGATGAAGGTATCTGCCAGGTCTGCTGCCGCTTTAGTAGATGCTGGCTCCCTCTCCAAGACGAACTGTCTTACGTCTGCTGGGCAGATGTGCAAGAGTTGATCTCGTATCATGAGATCCTCCAAAGCTTCATAGGAATTAGCTTTCAGTCCCTTAGTCCACTGTCGGAATGTGGTGCGTAAGTGACTTGCCACATCCGTGTAAGAGTCCCCAGGTCCCTTCTGCATGGACCTGAACCAGTACACTTCCGGGGTCATCTGGTACTTCCGGATAATGGCATCTTTTAAAAGTTCATCATCATCTTGCCCCTCTGGCAATTCGACAAATGCGTCCAGGGCCTTGCCTCGTAGCCCTGGTGTCAGGTACTGAACCCATTGAGCTTGGGGCACATGCTACTGACGGCACGTTTTTTCAAAGGACAGTAAGTACGTGTCAATGTCACTGTCCTTTTCCATCACTGGAAACTTGGCTGCGCCCACGGAAAGAGTGGCGTCCCTGTAATCTAGGGACCCGAGGTTCTGACCTGGTCGCTGCTGGAGCCTTGCCATCTCCATCTCGTGCCGACGATCAGCTTCCCTCTGCACCGCCTCCCTCTCAGCTTGGCGCTCCGCAGTTTCTCTGTCAGCCGCTGCTCGGCGTTCCTCTCTCTCCGCCTGGCGGTCAAGGAACTGCAAGTATGCCATAGGATCCGTCTCCATAACGCGTTTCAGGGCTTCCTGCATCTGAGGAGGGTATCTGCTGGTTACCGGCACCACGGTGCTAGCGCATTCAAGCGGTGGTGTGACGTTAACCTTTGGTGATCCTACAGTGTCAGTCTCTGTATGCCCATCCTGTGAGGCCGTCTCTGAGCCACTGGCAATGTGGGTAATGGGAACCCCTCCATGTTCAAGTTCCCCCGAGTTCTGATTTGCTCGGATATCATACTCCACTAGATCACTAATCAAATCTTCACGAGTTTTGCGAACGACGTCCAATCTCGTGAGGCACATTCAACTTTCCAATCACCTTTGCTCATTTTCTCGTAATCTGCTTCACCAGGCATAATTGCAAGCAAAGATGGCAGAGAAAAGTAGGAAAAGAAGGAGCTGTTGCTATGTGTCTCTCTATACACATATATATATATATATAAAATAAAATATGCACCTCTGGTTTCTAAGGACTGTTTCCACAAAGGTTACAATCCCTCAGTGCAGAGCCAATTTTTAACACTGCACTCAAGCTCTTAATGCAATTATATATACGCTGCCAACAATATGTCACGGATACACATTCGCCGCAACCAACACGCGACAATCACACGACCGCGACTAACAGTAATACGTCACGCCCACAGCGTCAGACCCAAGACCTTCTCACCAAACTCATGACCGAAGGACCGGCTGATCTAAAACCATGGTGTGACGCACGTAACAAGGCCCCACCCAGCTGCACCCTGCACAGCGATTGTCCAGCTAATTGACTACAATCGGTGCCTGCAGCCTGAATGCGCTTGTTACTGGGTCAGGTTAATTACGCCACTAACCCTTCACACTGCCACCACCGTCTTGAAATGTACAGAGAAGACGGACTCTGTCAGAAATACACTATAATGATTGAAAAGTCACCTGTCCAATATGGTCAATTGGGCAGGGAGTAAACAAACACAGTAGCGTCTCTTCAAAAGGCAGGAATTCGTGAATTGCAGGTAAGCGCTTAAAAACAGTTTAACACTTTCAGAAAGAAAGATTTATTACTAAAAGAGTCAAACAGGTGCAATAAAATATTTACAAAGAGATGTCACAAAAAAAAATATATATATGTATATAAAAAGACACAGCAAAGAGATAATTAGGAAGGAAATTACAGGGTTAAGTTACTTGCCCTTAGCCTGGGTTTGCAGATCCAAGTTGCAGAGCAGGACGATTCTTTATCTCCTCCTTAGATGTTAGCTGGGAGATCTGTGTAAAACTCTAACTTGTCTCTTCTTAAAAGTCCCTCTCAAAGGGAGGGGGTCTCTGACTAGACGTTTTGGGAGTGGGCAGTGGGAAACTCTGAATTAAACTACAGCTTCATACCCCATGATATGAAACATACAGTTGACCTGAGGAATGTTGAATTCTCTTTCAAGTCCAGGAGAGAAGCTATCTTATCTTGATTACGATGGGGGAGAAAGTTACACTTTGGCAAACTGCTGCACCAACTAGGGATGCTTAACCTGGGCTGACCCACCCCATCTGTCAGGAGATAACGTTTGCCTCTCAGGACTGGAGGGGGGTAGGGAATGAGAGCTGAGGAATTTCCACTAAAAGCAAAGGAAAAGGGGAGCTCTGCTTCCAACTCTGATGAGCAAGTTTGCTACAAAGCCTACTAGCCAGTTCATCATAGAATGGCTCAACAAGTGGTGGGTTGTGGACTGGCCTAGTCAAAACCATAAATTTAATCCCACTGAAATGGTTGGTGTGTGTGTGCGTTTGTTTTGAAATGGCCAAGTGAAAGCGTCTTGCAATTAAATACAATTTACAGGAGGAGGAGGTAGCTTTCAGAGACTGGTGAGCAGTTATGCAATATTCTGATAAAGGTAATTCTGCCATAAGGGTATAGTTAACTTTTCCACAGTACACCATTACCTCTATTGACTGTAATGCATATTTCCCTTTCTCTATAGGCACTGATTGAATCAAAATCTAACTTTGCCTTTCAAATATGTTTTAAAATTCAACAATTCCCATGGAGAGTATATACTTTTTCACGATTGTGACAGCATAAATGTAAAAAAAATTAACTTTTACAGTTTACACATTTTCCGTATGCACAATAACTGCTACATTTTCATTGCTGTAACACAAATATTTTCATGAAACATATTTTGCTCACTCAGATATATTATTCCTTTAATTGTGAAATAAAATATACAACATTTAGCATTATATTTTTTCTTAGTTTTTATTTCAGTGGATGTTGCATACAGCATATCGGGGAGTCTAGTTTCACAAAATGGAAGACACCACATGGACCGCTCAAACTGCTAAAAATAAAAAAAATTAACACATGTATAATTGTGCAGAAAATAAAACACAGTTTTGGTGAAAATGTTTACAGGTAACATTAATATGAGGACTTAAGAAACATCTCTTCCCTTTCATAAGGCTCTGTCAAGCATTCCTGTAGTGTGTTAGGGAAGAAAAAAACAATGTGTAAAGTAAAAAAACAACACAATCTGCCTCGCGCTTAAGTGTCTGGCGAAAGAACTGGTCTTGACAAGCATAGCAACCAATAACATTATCTATTTCTTATGCTACAAGTAAATCATTAACGGGAGAATGTTAAAAGGTAGCTACGTGCAATTAGAACACTTCTTCCTTCAGAAACCTTTTAATTGCGAGATGTCAACTGCCTCAACATGTTTGATCTATAGACAACATTTGTAATGTCAAACAGGTGTCAGATAAGACTATAACAAATACAAAAATACTGGATTTTTGTGTCTGTGTGCATTCAACAGTTATGAATGTTTATGGTAAGAAGTACTTCAAAACAATTAAATCCCTTTTGTATATTTAGGATGCTTGACAAAGCTATGGTGAGCAATAATGCCCATATCTGGAAAGAATCTAACAATCTAAAAATATCCATATACTTGTGTTTCTCAATATAATATTAGATAGAACTACTCTGTTAAAAAAAGTTGATACCTTTCTGTCTAGTAAGCACTGTATAAATGAGCAGCTATTAAATATTCCAAACTTATCCTGGAATAGACATGTCTCTTTTTTTTCAATATTCCAACAGTTTAACTTTAAAGCTTGGTTCTTTGTTTCTATAGAAACACTTGTCATTGATACAGAAGGTTGTTTGCATCCTGGACACAAAACATAACAAAGGGATACTAGATTCTTAGGATATCTATGCTGCAGAACATCTGGACAATGAGCTTGTGTGGAGTGAGATGGTTTATGCTTCAAATTCCAGTCCAAGGCCCAGTTTGTGACCTCCTGCATTGATGTTCTTGCCATCCAGCAAAGTAGATAAAGTTAATTTGATACCTGAAAAACAAATAACCCATTTATCAATAATGTCATATACAGTATTCATCTGCGTTGTCTCAATAATATACATGTTTTATATTTATTTCAATTATGTTACTCATTCTTAATATTCACATTATTCAAGGCTTGTTAAGCTTTACAAATGGTATAGTTTTATTTTTTTAGTTTAGCTATCAATTTTTTTTTATATAATTTGACAGAGTAGGGCTTAGAGCCTTTGTCAGACTTTTACTTTTATTTAGGAGTTGTTGTGCATTTATAATTTCCAAGAATTCTATATCAAAATATAACAAAATTATAACTTTTTTGCTTTATTCAAAGTACTATACCTTCTAAAAACATTTAAAAGGATCAAGCAGGGCCCTGCTTATTCATTTAGATCCGTGTGTTGTTTTTAGTCTATAACTGTTCACACATCCTACACATGCAACTGATAAATATTCCACAATATTGAACACAACATTACCAGCCCTGAAAGTTCACCATAATTGGCAACACATTTTTTTAAAGTCTTAAAAGTTCTTAGAAAGCGACATGCTTACTCTGTCCACAACAATGGTCCAGCACTGCAAGAGTTCCTTCAATTGTGCAAGATATTTTAAATTGTTAAAGTAGAACTGTCAGTCATCGGCTCTCTGCTCTGCACCTCCAGCAATCACTAAACCACGGGGCTGGGAAGGGGGCGGGATCAGCTGATTCAGGCTCTCAGCGGCGCACTGGGAGGCTGAACCAGCTGTCGGTAACAAATGTGGGTGGATCCGGACAATAAACTCGGGATCTCTCCAGACCTTGGACTGCCTGAGTGATGCCAGCCAACAGTGTGATTGACTTGATTGACTTCAGCACTGACCCTTTGACCCAGACAATGCAATCAGAGGGTCAGTGTCAAGATAAATCACAGTAGGGAAAGCCACATACTATTTTTCCCAATGGATGAAGTGCACATGAATTGGGTTATGTGAAATCTGTTATTCTAGTTTTGACTATTCTAAAAGGATGTTTCTGCAGTGAATACACAATCTGACCATGTTTTTTTTTTTTTTTTACAAAGGCTGTGTGTACTGGAGAGTAGAGCAAACATCATCTTTGTCTTCAGTTGTTCCAGGCAGCGTAAAGGGTATCTACACTAATAAAAAAATATATATATTGCAGCTTACCAGTTCTTAGATTAGGTGCTTGCATTATTTTTCTTTTTGATGCCTTTGCTTATCCCCATTACATGGGAGATAAGTAGTTTACAGAAAAAAAATGTTTCTTTCTTTCAGTTCAGCTGACAGGAAGTGCAAGGACACTGCATTTCTGACAAAATCAACAGGCATTTTTTGTACTTGCTGAAAATGAATGCAGCTTCCACCTCTGAGGACTGGTAATCTGGAATATATTACATTTTTGTTCTTGGGTTTAGTTATTCTTTAACTCATTGCCGCCACCCTTACACATATATGCAGAGTCACTGAGGTGTGCCTTCTTCCATGGTGCCACAATTATGTGCTGGAAACTGGAATGTGCTGTGTGTTTGTGCTGGAAACATGCTCCATAGTGCCAGTGGCACAGAGACCAAGATATCACTGTCAGTTCATGGTCTGCTAAGGATCAGGAGCAGGGCACTGCTAATAACACATCTTACATCGTGTGGATTAGATCTCTCAATATCACTACAATCAGCACTCTCTCTCTCCCTCAGTGGAATCTCAAGGTTAATAGTTTCAGATCTCAAACTATACAAACCCTCGATTGACCAGTAACCAGACAATATTTCAATCAGCATACATATACTAAAAAACATAAAATAAAATCCTCTGTATAAAACTTATGATACACTTAGAATATATAGCACCATGGGATGACTGATCTCCAAATCAGTTCAATAATGCTGAAAGCTCTTGTGAGGAGCAAACTTGTATTGATGGGTATCTTTTTGTGTAAACAGCAGTATTGCACTGTCACTCATAGGTTATTCTTTGGGGGAATACAGCAAACAATGTCTCTGTCAGTTCACATACCCAGGGAAGTATAGTCCACTGCTGCTTTGCTTTACTCACAGAGTTCAGACTCTTTCCATTCCTTCCTTCCTCCATGTCAGCAATAGATCTCTACACACTCCACACTTCCACTGCTCTGCTGTGATTAGCAGTGTTAACCCCTTCTTCTCCACAAATTGTTGTAATGAAGCAGATTTGCACTATAGGCTTATCAGAACAGATAGGAAAGCACTAGGAGTTTTGAAGGAAGAAATGGAAAGATTCTGAACTCTGCTTGCCTCTGCTTTCAGAATATATATATATGTATGGAGGTTCTAAGTAATTTTCTACCACAAAATGCTGATTTAACATGTGAAAAATTTCAAAATTGCCTCAGACAGCTAGTGGTTAAAGAAGTTTGGGCATAGTAAAAAAACAAACATTCATACTTACGTCCCTGCTGCAGCTTCATCTCTACCCCCCCTTTCCCAGTTCTAAGCCTGAACTGAGAACTGAGCAATCACATGACCGTTGACCACTCAGTTCTTGGTCTTCACTGACCAAAGAGCAAGATATTTTAAATTGTTAAAGAAGAACTGTCGGTCATTGGTTCTCTGTTCTTCAGTGCTCACTGGAGCGCTGGGCTGTGGAGGGGCAAAAGAAACTGGCTGAGGCTCTCAGCGGCACGGTCAGGCATCTGGGCGGAGCCAGACATTATTGTCGGGGTGCTTTCAGAGCCTGGACTGACTCTGTGATGGCAGCCGATAGCAGGCTTTAACCCTTTGTTGCCTCATGCTGAATCACAAGAGTGCAAAGTAAGTGCACACCTGTGATCCAGGAGAGAAGTATAGTGAAAAAAGCTTTGCTCATACTTCTCTTTTAAGCATGTTATTCATATAGCCCCTTGTCCAAAACTATTACTTTGCAAATGGCAGATTATGTTCAGTGTTGTACCAAGCTATAACCTTTCAGTTCCAAGTTATTTGTAATAAAAGTAAAATGTTTCTTTTCCGACTACCTATCTACATACTCATTGACACTAGCCATACACAATCCAATTTTTGGTCTGAAAATTATAAGGCAATGTATGATACTGTTGAAAAAAAGGCTAATATAAAAAGGGTTTGCAAATAAATTAAATGCTCCTGCATTTGTTACATATTTTCCAGCAAGCAAATAAATAAATGTGCAAGTTTACATAAGCAACATTTTGTTTTTCCCCACAAAAAAAAAAATAATCCTGTCAGCACTTGTGCCATAATAGAAGATCATTAAAGTGTATCCCTAGACAGGACTTTATTTTTCAGTTTTGGATAGAGTCGGGAAGGATTAGACCATCTGTCAAGTTTTTATTGCTGTGTGTCCTTGCTGGGAAGATTTGATCATTTGTACTGTTGACCATTGTCACTGTAAAGGTGAGGTGAAATCCAAAAAATTAGAGTAAGAAGTCAGGGGAAATCTTCTAATAGGGAAATTCTGAGGAATTACCCTCATTTTGGGAGATTTCCTTCTAACTTCCTATTGTATTTTTGGGACAGGAAGTAAGGGGAAATGTCCCCAATGATACACACACTGCAAAAAATAAACAAACTGGGGTTTTAACTCTATGGCTACCCTATTCTATGGCTATACATATGCTTTAAGGTTGTCCTCAGCAGGTACTGTTTATTGGGTAGTTTTAAAAAACCGGCCCCAATTGCTAATCTTCCCCAGTGAAATAAGTGGAATAGACAGTGTCCAATTCCTCTAAAGGCAGCAGTATAACCTACTTCTTTCTGATTTACATCTGATTCTGTGTTATTCAATGAACCTTAACCACTTGCCGCCCAGCCACCGCATTAAAACGGTTGCAGGGCGGCGCGGCTGGGCAAAACCACGTTTTAAAACGTAGTTTTGCAAAACAGGTAGGGGGCGCGCGCGAGGCGCCCGCCCGCCCTACCTGTCCCGCGGGTGTCAGCAGCAGGGGTGTCAGCCGCCGAGTCATGGCCGGTGATTACCGGCCGTTTCCCCAGGATTAGCGGTGATCGCTGACAGAGAGCAGGGCTGCATTGTTTACACACAGCCCTGCTCTGTGTCAGTTCTCTGACAGCTCGTGACAAGCTTAAGAGGGAGAGAAGAGTTTCTCTCCCTCGATCAGCCTGCCCCCGCCCAGCACACACCCCCGCCCCCTAATAAAACACTCCCCTCACACAGTAAACCCTAAAAATGTTAACCCCTTCCTCCCCAGTGCCATTAGTACAGTGTCAGTGTTTTGTTTTTTTTTACTGATCACTGTATTGGTGTCACTGGGGATGTCAGTGACCCCAAGTCAGTTCCCCCCAGTGTCAAAATGTCTGCCGCAGTCCCGCCATAAGTCGCTGATCGCCGTCATATGTCGCTGATCGCCACCATTATTAGTATAAATAAAAATTAAAAATCCTAGTACCTTTCCCGCCATTTGGAAATGCTATAACTTTCATGTAAACCATTTAATTTACACGTATTGGAATTTTTTTTAGCAAAGACGTCGCAGAATGCATTTTGGATGAAATTTGTGACAAAATTTGATTTTTTAATTTTTTTTACTGGACATGTTTTATAGCAAAAAGTCCAAAATATTGTTTTTTTTTCTCAAAATTGTCAGCCTTTTTTTTATAGCGCAAAAAATTAAAAATGCACAAGCGATCAAATACCACCAAAAGAAAGCTCAATTTGTGGGGAAAAAAAGGATGTAAATTTAATTTGGGTGCAGTGTTGCATGACCGCGCAATTGTCAGTTAAAGTAACGCAGCGCTGTAACACAAACCTCTTCTGTAACAGTTTCCTGACCACCCTACAGCAGAAATACTGCTACAGGGTGGCATGGGTACGCAAAATCACCTATATATATATACATATATATATATATATATATATATATATATATATATATATATATATATATATATATATATACGTGATTCACGATCCCGTGGTTTTCACACCCCTCCCAGATAGCGTCAGATTGCCCGTCAGTACACCAGTCATCACATTTAACCCCTTGATTGCCAGGAGCAC